TTAGCTTCTAAATGCCAGAGAATGTAGCTGAGCGAGGTCTCAGCAGCCATGTCTAGTCTCATTTTATAGAGAAGGAAACTGAGTCCCAGAATGGGGAGGTGATAAGCCTGAGCCCTGCAGCTGCGATTCTGTCAGCCCCCCTGCCCAGCGTGGGGGTGGGGAGGGAGGGAGCAGAAGAGGCTGCCTTTCCCCCCCTCCCATAGCAGTGGGATATTTACTATGGAGAAAGGCTAGGCTGAGCCGCCCAGACAGTCTGGCCCGTGGAGCCCCACATACAATTTCCTCTTCTCCTCCTCGGGGCCTCAGAGGTGCAGGAGCACTGCCCCCCATGCTCTGTCTGGCAGCCCCCATCAAGCTGGGCTCTGTGTTTTCCAGCTCAGCTCTGCTTTCTATTTCTGACAATGTTCTAAGGTAATTAAATTATGGATGTGCTCACCCTGGCGGCTTGGGGGGTAGGGGCTGGGGGGAGCGTGGTCTCATATTGAGATTTGATAACTGGTTGAGAAGTTAGCACTGGTTGAGAAGTGTGGCATCCAGGGGTGTGGACATAGAAGCCAGCTGATTCAGGTACCCCAAGTTGGGTGGTTCAAATTAGGCTATAGCAGGTTATGGAGGAGGGGCAGTTGGGAGTTTGTGGGGAGGGTCCAACTAGGGGTTTGTGTTTTTCTTGAAATCTTTTTTTGTTTGTTTGTTTGTTTGTTTGTTTGTTTTTGACTGAACACTTGCATGTGAGTGGATTAAAAGCATCCTTGAGCCCAGCTGCCACATAGATTCACAGAATGTCAGAGCTGGGAGGGGCCTCAGGACAGGGAATGGCAGGGCTGGACCTTAGAACAGGGAATGTCAGAGCTCAGAACAGGGAATGCAAGAGTTGGGAGGGAACTCAGAACAGGGAACGTCAGAGCTAGAAGGCAGCTTAGAACAGGGAACGTCAAGGCTGGGAGGGGCCTTAGAACATCAAACACGGGGCTTCAGTTGGAACCCCAGCTGTCTGCCTTCTGGTCCTGTGTTCCCACTGCAATATGCTTCCTTTCTGTTAATGCTTACCTCTTGCTTATAATTCATGTGAGCTAAGCCCTTTAGGACAGTAGGGCGCTTCACAGGGAGAGGCCAACAGGGAGTTAATTGCGCACCAGTTAGAGCCTGCATGGGCTCTTCCCCACTTCCTGCGGCCGAGGGCCAGGCATCTCACCTCTTTGCACCTGCAAGAGGGTTAATCTTCTGAGCCCTCTTCCCTTCTGGTGTTTTGTGAAGGTTAATTGGCTCCCGGCACCCAAGGGTTGGAGGTAGAAGGTGCCTGCCTGCCAGTGGGCAGTGCTGGGGAAGTGATGGACCAGAAAGGGGCTCCAGCTTTGGCTCCTGTCCCCTCTGCCATAGGGAAAGGACTTACCCAAGGTCACGTGGAGGCGGGCTGAGTCCCGACAGAATCTTGGCCCTCTGCATCAGGGCTAAGAACAAGGCCAAGCATTGATTAAGTGCCTACTGTGTGCTGCACTCTGGAGATGCATTGATGCCCTTCAGGAGCTCACAGTCTAAAGAACCCAGGACTTGGTGTCAAGTTCTGGGTTCAAATACCAGCTCCCTACACATTGCCTTCGAGGCTTGAGTAGGTCACTTCCTCTATCTGGGCTCGGTTTCCTCCTCTGTGGAAGGAGGAAATTGGAGTTAATGATCTCTAAGCCTCCTTCCCGGGGCAGTTGGTAGGTGGTGCCTTGGATAGAGGGACAGCCCTGGAGTCAGGAGGACCTGAGTTCAAATCCAGCCACAGACACATACTAGCTGTATGACCCTAAGCAAGTCACTTAATATTGTTTGCCTCAGTTTCCTCATCTTTAAAATGAGCTGGAGAAGGAAATGGCAAACCTCTCCATCATCTCTGCTAAGAAACCCCAGATGGGGTCACAGAGAGTCAGACACAACTAAACACCAACTAGCCCCTTTCCAGCTCTTCATCCATAAGCCTAGGATAGTCTAGGTACCCTGGGACTCTAATAACATGGCTGGCTGAGATTGAGGCCCTTCTGGCATCTGAGGATGCTTGAAACCCTTCGCTCATCTTGGGCACCAAGATGCAGGACAAAGGCTGTTCTAGACCATTGGTGGAATTCCTGATCGGTGCTCAAACAGAGCATTTTAGGGAGGGTCAGAAGGGAAAGTGTTGGCTCCCTGGGTGCAATGCTTTGCATGCGCCTTTGTGGCCTTGGCCCTGCAGGTTGGCCATTTCTGAAAATGTCTGCCAGGCTATAGGAGCTTTGGACTGAACTGGTTCGTGTTTTCTTTTCTCTTTTTTTTGGTGAGGCAATTGAGGTTAAGTGACTTACCCAGAGTCACACAGCTAGTGAGTGTCAAGTGTCTCAGGCTGAATTTGAACTCAGGTCCTCCTGATTCCAAGGCTGGTGCTCTATCCACCGTGCCACCTCGCTGCCCCCATTCATATTTTCAAAAAGGCTACATGTAAGCATGGTATCTAGCACAGGGCCCTGCATACAGTAGGTACTTCATAAGTGCTTGTGGAATGAAGGACTATCAGTCCTCAGTTTCTATTTGAAATCTGTTTAGTTTCTGGCAGAAGCCTCTCTTCTCTTGGGAAACCTTTCATTTTCACAGATCTTCTAAGGTTACAAAGTACTTTCTACACAACTAACCTGTCGGTATGTAATATGAGGATTATTTGCCCCCATGTTGCAGATGGAGAAACTGAGGCTCAGAGATAGGATATGACTGACCCCCACAGTGACAGTGGGGTGTAACAGAATTGTTAAGTGCTGGAACAGAATCTGGAGGTCTCTCTTTATTTCAAAATTCAATTTCATTTCAGTTCTAAATTCTTTCCCTCACCTTCCCCCTCTCTCACCCATTGAGTAGGCAAGAAAAACAAAATCCCTTACAAATGGGTAAAGTCATGCAAAAGAAATGGGAGAGAGAGAGAGAGAGAGAAGGAAAGAGGAGAGACAGTAACAGAGAGAGACAGAGACAGAGAGAAGAAGAGAGACAGAGAGAGAGAGAGAAAGAAAGAGGAGAGACAGTAACAGAG